TGGAAAGTCACGTATTACATTGGAACCGAAAATATCTAACCGTAGAAGAATGTTGTAGACACAAAGATGGCTTCTGCATATTGGCATATTTATTTCTGGTACGAATCTTCGATTCTTTCATTCGTCTTTTACATTCAAGTTTTGTTTCTATACTCCCCCCGTCGAAGGTACAAGTTTTACCTAATTTTTAAAAAAAGGTCCAACCAGGTTGTTGCAGTTGCATTAATCCGCAATTGGAAAGGATAACGGAACACTTGAAATACATTTTAGATCCAGACATGGAAACGAACATACCAGCTAGTAAGGATTGAATATATGTTATTTGGAACATTATTTCGTTAAAATAATAATTGAACAACGATGTATGCACTATCATAATATCGTTATTTCGTTAATATTATTTATCAATTATCAAATAACACTATTTCATTATATTAATTATACAATTTTATATTATTTAGCAATATTATTATATTATGTTATTTGCCAGTGACATTATTTGATCAATAATATTGTTTGTTATCATATTTCCTAATATCTCTCGTAGACTGCTTATCATGGATGCGCTGGGCAACGTATTGTACTAGATATTATACATATGCAGGATCATACAATGTCGCCGATTATCCAGAGTGTGCTACTTGGATTGTATTTCCTGTAGTTATACCCGTACGATCCAGTGAAGTAAGTTGCAATAATATTATGTACCAACGTACGGATGTACGTATGTAATATTCTAGTAAACTATAATTAATCGAAATCAACTCGTAGATAAAAGAATTTCGAAGGCTGAGAGACAAGGATGGGAATTTCATAAAGTCAAACTGGCGAGAAATACAATTATTGAAATGTAGACAAATCTTCTTAGCAGTTTCTTAAGTCGAAATCCTCCAAGTCGCCTTTGGATTCATTTTTCTGTAATCACATTTGATGAAATATACAATGAAATAACAAGCCACTGCGAGTGTTTGCCAATTAATTATATTATCTAATCGTTCACAATCGTTTCATTTATCACGTTCGTTCAAATTATTAAACGACTCGATGGATGCGAATATTCGTACTATCGTTTGCCCCAAAAGTTCATAAATACGAATAAAAAATACTTCTGCATAAAGAGAATCATTGGCGGGAATTGTGCAACTTTTGACTGTTGTTTGAACCTGACTGTCTTGTGAACGAATATTCGATTTTTTCCCACGTTTATTTCGTAAATTATTGTCCTTAATGGACGACTGAGATACGTTTATCGTACAACTCATGGTCGAAGACACGCCAGAAATCTCTTTACAGTCATTTAATAGGTAAGCATTCCTTGCTAATTCGCTTTCAGTCTCAAATAGATTGAAAAACGAGCATAGTATGTAATACACCATTTCGTACTTGTTACACTGCACAGATCTGTACAACGTAGGATTCAAACATTCTTTGTAAAGTTCGCTGAATTGTGACAACATAATATTTCTACGTTCGGATTGCTTAATTTCCAACAAGGTATCTCGTATATCGTTTAACGACATATTCCAACGATGTCTTGTTTGATTTGTTGCGGCGTAGTAAATCTTGTGAAATTCTATCAACAATGTCGGATTGTGAAAACATAGTGGATTTTTCATAACGAACATGTCTGATTCTAAAAATAAGCTACCGTACGCAGGTTCTGGATGCTTAGTCAAACTAATATTTTCCATAATATCGTTAATTAAATCTCGTATCACGGTATTTCTAACGCAGCGATCTAAGTATTTATCGACTATCTGTACAGACTCGAACTTCGCTAAACGAACGTTCGAGCTCTCGACGCAACCCCAAAATCGAAATACCAACGACGAGGGACATAAGATCGGATCGGTTATAAGTTTCCAAAATTCAATAAAAACATGAGCGTCCCTTGGTCGGAACCATACTTTCAATTTTACGATCTGCCCAGGGAGGATCACTCCTTTCGTCTTGTTAAAGAAAAAAGGACTCGTTCGTTTGACTAAAGGAATCGTATTGCATCGAAAATCTGCGTCCCGCCATTGGTAGACGATTACGCGATTCCCCTTATTCTCGAGCACGATTTCTTTTTCTGTTCTTTTATGAATTTCACCAAAAAATGTTAAACTCCATGTAATCGAATCTGGCTTTGTCCCGTGCTTCGAGGGAAATCTTTCCCAAACGATTTCGCGATCTTGGATCTTTAAGGCGATCGCCTGTTCAACGCAACGGCTCGATTCGTCTTCCTCTTCCTCCTCTATGTCGGAAATTGTCACTGGCAGAATTCTTGCCAATGGTTTCTCTTTCGGTGGGACATAATTCTTAATCACCAGGTCTCTCGTTTCTGGTTCTTTCGGTACGAGCGCCTCTATTTCTTTCGACAACTCTCTCCTCCTTGTTTTCAAGTATCGGCTGCGCATCCATGATGGTTCTTTCGATTTCAAATCGTCCAAATCTTTTTCTTTTTCTATCAGTTCTGGCAAGCCGACGTACGTCAACTCCGGACTTAGATTTAACTCCTTCTTCGTCGGAATAAACGTGATGTCTGGCAAACAAGGAACACGGCTAGGCAGTTTCTCCGGAGTCCTCCAGAATTCTGGCCCGCCTCGATATTTGTCAGGTATAATTGGCACCGGTACCGTCGCGTAGTCCATCAGATTCCTCATTTCCATCAGTGGTCGTATCTTTTCACATGAATTCAGAATTTGATCGTTTTGGTGACGACCGGTCGTAGATCTAATGTGTTTATACTGTATCTTCCACCTTTCTAACCATTTCTGCCAGTTCGCCAAGCGCCGATCTTCGGCGAAAGGCAACTGCGGACTAATAAACTTATCTCGCGCAGTGACAACTGTCGTGAACTGTTTCACCCATTTTTTCGGTTCGTCCGATTTGCCAATTTTTCGTGCATAATCCATCTATTTGTCAAGAATCTAGTCAGAACAGAAGTACTCGTATTAAAGATATTCAATTGCTTGAACCTTTCACGAAATTCTATCTCGATTATAAAAGATAACGACGATCGAGTCATTTGTTCGTTTTAACAACTTCATTCAAATCGGGAATGAGCCTAACAGGTAAGAAAAGTTTAGCGTAATCTTGTTCTATTGGCTAATTGGCTAATTGTATTGATTGTTTGAATAGAACCGAATGAAAGGTACGAGCAAAATGCCAAGTTTATTCGAGACTTATTCAACGCCGAAGGTGTATTAGAATCTCCGATCGATTTAGACATTAGTCACATGAAAATTATCGAATTAGATGCTTTCGAATGGATTGGCATTGATGTAGCGCCAAGGAAACTAAAAATTACCAATACAGGATTCACGGGTAATCACTCTATTAGAGATAACATAATTTATATGTGTTGTACGTGCTAAATTTCACGGTATCGATTATGCCTCATCGGTAGTGATTTTGTGCGCGAAATGGCAGCAAGGAAGCCCTTATCTTTCTGGAGGGCCATTCGAAGGAAATTACATATTCGCGCAAATTCATTTTCATTGGGGAGAGAACGAGATGAAAGGCAGCGAGCATACCGTTGACGGAGCAAGGTTCTACCTTAAGTATTGCGTATTGTATGTTCTTATATTAGCTAATTAATTATATAAGAATATGTAAATTATATATTCTTATAATTACTTATATAAGAATGTAATAAGCTATGTTGGCTAATTTATTATATATTATTATGCAAGCTATAACGTATATTTTTTGTATATTTTTCAATTTATCCGAAATGCTCGTGGAATTTCGATTCGATAAAATTTCATTCGAAGTATGCCTATGGAACTTCATGTTGTGCATTTCAAGGAAGAATACGAAACATTAGAAACGGCCCTTCGACGACCTAATGGCGTTACCGTTTTAGTATACTTCTGCAAAGTAAAGAATTCTTCACGTTTATATCAGAAACGCAAAAAAAAAAAAA